CCGAGAATATGATATTTTTACTACGGCTGCAGCGGTCTCGGAGACAAGACAATATGATATACGAAATATGGTAACAACGAACATTCAAGGAGGCTACTACTTAATATTCCTTCGTGTTTGAACTAAAAGGTAAGTTACCAGAGTTTTTTCAGAGCGTTTAAGTACATTTGTCTTTATTAATTTACTTTGTATTTTCTACAGTATTTACCATATATGCCACTTTCATCTTATTTTTTCTGCCACTTCTGCCAAATCTGACATTTCTAACAGGCACAGTCGATGTTGGTTGATTAATTCATGTTATCTCAGCGTCGATCGCCTCACTCATAACGTACGTTATAGAAGGCGAAAATATTCTTAAGTCTGGATAACACAGATACTGCACTACAACACAACACTAAATACTAACTAAACTACTCTAATTCTACCCTAATAATGGTAATGCTTCGATTGAGGCGTAGAAAGACTTGGTCCGAGTAAACAGTGTCAATTAGAGCTCTAGACTACATCACAGTGGGTGCGCTGTGTTCTATGTAAATCAAAACTATATGTGGTCATATAATAAAATTTATTAATGAATTTTTTTTTAGATAGCGATCGATAAGTAAAAATTTTATAGGAATTAGTACAAATGTCAAATAGAGGTACAGCACTAACGGTTCGACAGTTTTGGATAAAGGCCAGTGTTACATTTCTACAACCAAAACAAATCAAGTTCTGTCTTTTTGTCTTTGATTAAGAAAATAATGACATAGTGTATCAAATTTTTTCATGTTTGAAAAAGAAATAGCTCTATAGCTTTATTTGTAAAGACGTACCACTGGCCTTTGCAAAATTTTATCGAGCTGTGCATCAATTTAAAGTATTGTAACAATTATTATAAAAATTATTACCCATTGATCGCTATCTAAAAAATATCCATTAATAAATTTTAGGGGAATTCACAAATAAGGGCCCAAAATTGAAAATAATTACAAATAAGGCCCAAAATAAAAATAATTACAGATAGAAGCCCGATCTTCGACCTGTGGCTTTAAATCCTGTGGCTTAATAGTCGAATAATAATCAATTAGTAATTTGAATATAAATTCGAATCCGCAATAAAAAATGTACTTTTGTTTATTCGATTCTTTAATCATTTATTATTAGCATTGTAAATTTGTTTTTTGATTCAACACAAATTCTTGGCATATTTTTTAAAAATATCATATCGGATGTAAGTTTTTGCTAAAAAAAAATTTGTCATCCTTACAATCAGACAAGCAAGGCGGCTACAAAAAACTAGCTTATATAGCCATGGAGAAACAGTACTTATAATAGATACAATTCAAAAGATTATAATTCGCATACATGCAGTTGAAATAAATAAAAACTAGAATTTACATTTTATTTCTAACATTCTATTCTAAATAAAAAAATCTGCATCTAGTAATTATGTGATTAGACTTGCGTAATAAACATTATAATAAATTTGTATGCCAATTTGATATAGCAATTATTCATTAAATTCAGTATAACGATAACGCTAAAATACCTATTTAATCACGAGAAACAATTATTGTTGTGATTACAGTTAGGTTTAAATCAGTGTTGTTAACTAACAACAGATTTGGGCCCTTATATGTAATAATTTTCGACTATCAAGCCCTATCTGCATCACAAAGTATGTTTTATATAGATCTATATAAAATTTTTATGTAAACTTATGTAGAATTTTTATTAAATTTTATAAAAACTTTATAAACCCAATGGAAAATTACATAGTTATTTATATAAATCTATATATATTTTATATATGATTATGCAAAATTGACATAAATTTTTAAATTAAATATTAAAGCTAAAATTAGATTTTAAAATTTAAACTAGGGGTTTTCGAGCATGCTGAATATTTTTACTTAGTGCATCGAATGGTAATTACCTTAGCCACTTTAGAGAAATAGCTGAAGTAAATTAAATGATTTTTATATAAATGAAAATAAATTTAGAATTATATACATGTACCCTAGGGTACATGCACCCGTGTCATGTGATATAAATATACTATATATATTAATAATATATTTAAAATACATATTTAATACTAATTCTAATTGACCTTTAATTTTAACTCCAAACCCAACCCGATTTCTAATTAAAAACCATTCTTAACATTTAATCCAAACCAAAACCTAACCTAAATCTGCTTATTTCATGAATAATTACTTATAAACATTTTATTTTAAGGACTGGAACCGTTTAATTGCATCAAATTAGAAACTGTTTCATCAATTATTAACATCCTTATTTCTATCTACAGAAATTTGCTTAATCAATCGATAGAGTTTAGTTCAAAAGGTGTTTTAATCTTAATAAATTGTGTAACCGTTCCGTGATAGCCTCTACTACTTCGCTTTCAGTGTTTTAATCTAATCCAATCCTCAAAATCCTCACTACTTGGGACTGCTAGACAGTGTGGTTATATTTAATTCTTAATAACTGCAGCCATAAAATAAGGTAGAAATTGAATAGCCTAAAGGTTTTTATAGTTTAACTACATTAATCATATAATTCAGATAGCAAAAAAAAGTCGGGTTTCATAGTCATTAACTATTTCTGATCTAGCTTAAAAAAAGTTATAGCTAGATAACTAATTATTAAAATATTTGTGTATCAAGCTAATTTTGATTTTTTTTAGGCTAGATCAGAACGATCAGTAATTATGAGATTATATATTATTATAAACGTATAATTGAGATGATTTCATTCAATATATTAGGTAATGAAACGTTGCGCTTGGTTCTGTATTTTTAAAATTTGGTTGAATGGTATATAGAAGATTATTGCTAATCATAGCATGCAACAAAATAGGTTACAGCAAATATGTGAAGGCACATAAACTATCTAGCACAGTTGTATTTAAGACTTTGTAAGAATAATTCTTTAGATTTTTTAAAAGTTAATCATATATTGTATAGTTTATTAAATATATGGGGTTGAGTCAATAGAAATCATGCAAATTTTTCTAAGTAAATTTTTTTTTAACTTTAAACAATAATAACTCAACAAAACTTAATCAAATTTAATAAAAATTTTTTTAAATAAATTCTACAAACTTATAGAATTTGTTTAAAAAATTTTTATTTAATTTGATCAAGTTTTGGTTAAGTTTTTAATATATAAAGTTTTAAAAAAAATTCAATAGAAGTAATTTGCTTGATTTCTATTAACTCACCCCTATATACTGAACTATTATATAATATTTATATAGTTTGACAATTGTATAAAATATATATTTATGAATAACAAGCTTAAAATATATAAATAACAATATATAAATACTTTATATACTTTACTGAAACTTGCAAAATTTGCAACTTTAATACTAGTAATTAACTAGTAATTAGTTATAAAGTAACTATATAGCTACTTTATAGTAGCTATAGTTTTATATTTACTTTATATTAGCAATATACCTACTACTGTTCACTACTATATTACTACTATTTTACTATATTTTTACAAAAAACTTTTTATAAAACTACTATTTTATTATATTTTTACTACAATTTTACAAAAAATTTTTTGTAAAATTGTAGTAAAAATATAATAATATAGTAGTAATATAGTAGTAAGTAGTAGTAGATATATTGCTAATTGTCAGAATATGATTGGTATCACATAATCGATATGCAGAGGTAGTTGTTCAAGGGTATACAATTGTTAGTAAGATCGATATAATCAAGAAGGTAGTGTAACTTTATAACATATGAGTTACAATATAAACTTTATTCTGCATTGTATTAGTAATAGAATTAATAATGTAAAGTCTGTTGAAGTATAGCATAATTAGCTGATGATGTAATTTCACATGATCAAAAATAAATAAATAAGAGGTTTGATTTAAAGGATCAAACCCAGACTTTGATTTTTTGTTAAGAAACTTTAACCTAAGAGATAGTGTTGTAAAGGAGGTGACAGTAGAGGAATGAAAGCTGAAGTACTACACAAAGCAAGTGCAACAATGTATAATTTATTAAACTATCTACTAGAATTAAGTACTTAAGTGACTTATTAACCCCACGTCAGAGAAGAACCTGGGCAATCTTATCATCTCTCACAAGATAATACATAATGAATGAACCAAGTAAAGCTGTAACGAATATATTAAAGTAAGCTATAATGAATGCATTGAAGAAAGCCATAATGAATAAATTAAAGATAGTTGTAACGAATGCATTAAGAAAAGTTGTAGGAAACATACCAAGAAAAGCCATGACTGACACAACTACAAGGAACAATAATGAAGGGTAGTTTATATAAATAACAAAGCCCAAGATTAGTAACTCTAAAATAACAAGGCTAGAACTACAAAACAAAATCTACAAACCTGCTAATAATCTTGAGGACCAAAATCATCAATACTATAGTATACAAACTCATAAGGAGGAAATATCGGTACAAAAAAAACAAAAGATGTTAGTAAAGGTAAAACAAAGTAACTACCAAGATGGGAAGTTTGGATACAACTATATCTGTATATTGTAGAACAGTAATTGATGATATTGAAAACTTTCTTTTCAACTATGAAAGATATTTGAAGGCCAAGAAATACGATGAGAAAACAACCTGTTTTAGGATATATATACATATACCAGAATGTATGAGGATGTAGATGCATGAATTAGTAAAGACTGAAAAGATATGGAAGAATCTGAAACAAAAAATCATCAAAAAGGTAAAAAGAGAAAATGAGTCAGAGATGAAGATCATATAATTAAAACATCTTAAACAAGATGAAAAAGAGTCAGTAAAGGAGTATACTAACCAATATAAAGCTCTCACCAATACAGTAAAGAACCAATTGAGAATTGATGAAAAGCGCAACTATATATTGGTGGCCTGAATGAACCTTATCGTTCAAGAGTAGAAAGTTGTTGCTCTAAGAACTATGATAAGACAAAAAAAAGCAGTAGAGATAGAAGAATACAACAGGAACAAAGGTTATAATAAACAGAATGATCCAACCTTACCTGATGCTACATCTAATACCAGTAAGAGTGATATTGACATCGACAGCTTGGTGACCAAATTAGCTCCTTGAAAATAAACTGTGTAGACCAAGAAGATCAATTAAAGCATAACCAAGTTGAAAATCTTATCTGGAATATTGTGAACAAAATGATCAAAGTCTTGAATAAAAAACCAACACAACCACATACCAACAAGCTACCTGTATCAAGAAGTAGGGTATATTGTAAAAGACTGTCCAAATCAGAACAAGAGTACTGACCAGTCCAACAAGATACTCAGATTTGATAATATCAATATATAAATAGTAGAATTTACAGAAATAGGTTCGAGAACTACCAATGAATATTTAAAAGTAAAATTATTAGATAATAGTGTAGGATATGATGTAAAACCAGTTGGTAAAAGGAAAAGAGAAGATACTACAATCAAATAGTTAGAACATTTGAATAAAAAAAGAAAAGTAAATGAGTATATTACTGAAAACAAGAGATCAAAATGTCCTGATAATGTGATGTACATACTTTTTGCTGAGTTGTCAGCTGAACTTGATATATTAAAAAGAATTGCCAGTATGCAAATAACAATCAATCTTGGTTAGCTATTTAAATGGTCACTGAAAACACATGCTGAAGTAATGAAGTTACTGTCATGTCGATGAAAAGGTCATGAAATCGAAGATGTAAATGCCAGAATAAGGGTTGTGCATGGGGTTGTTCAACCAAACAAACTAGTTCAAATGAGATAGTATCTGTGTGGACAACCAGGGTCAATAGTAATATAGTAAAAGCTCTGATCGATCCAGGGTCATATATCAACCTGATATTGAGAAAATATGCTGAAAAAAGAGGACTAACCTGGGATCACATTGGTGGAAAAGGCAGAATGGCCAACAACAGAGTTAGCCAATTTGTTGAATATATATCTAATATAGAAATTGAGATAGAAGGGGTTACTATAAATCAAGGATTTTACATGATAGAGACAGCAAGCTTCAATATTCTGTTAGGAATGCCTTGGATCACAAGCTACTGATGTAGTTTAAGCTAGAAAGGTAAGAAGTATGGGTGTACTATCTCTTTAACTATAAGATCAGCATCATTTATTGTGTTAACCTTACCAAAGAATTGGCTTGAGCAAGATGATAACTACAGTCAGGAATTTTTTCATATTTGGACAGTATTGATCATACCATTTATGGTATAGGATCACTGATCAGATTATTCTAGAATCTTTGTTATACAAAACACATATCATCATTATCACTGTATCATACACTTTACTGCTTTAGCATGTAATGGTGAGTATTCACTATTAAATTAATTAATTAAGAAATTTACTTATAAGTGAATATATGTATTTTTTTTATTATTTATTGTTAGCACTAGTTATACTAGCTATATGCAAGTTTTAAATGACAGAAAAAAAATAAGATTATTATGTGTAAAATCTAAAGAACTTTACTGTTTAACATGCAATTATAGTAACAATCAACCTAACTAATGCTTATACTTTACATATTCTGATTATTATAGAGCTAAACCAATAGACAATTAGATTATTAAGTATAACTTTGTAAATAAATCATTAGAAAATTAATCAACATATTAAAAAACTGTAGTGTAATATATTTTAAGATGAATAGATATGACAAATCATTAGCAGATTTAAATAAATTATTAGAAATTAATCCAAATAATG